GAATAGAGTTAGCAAACCTATAGTAATTAGGCCCTAAGTAAGACTCTTAGATATATAAATAGGGAACATAAAGAGGCACCTAGAACTCCCACCACAATAATCTCTCACCACACCAAGAATTCCAAGAATTCCCCTAGGAGAAATCAAGAAAGAAGAAAGCTTAAAGAAAGACCCTTCATAGCCAAGGAATCAATTAAGGCTAAGAAGTAACCCATGTCTCAACAAAACCTATTTTCATAGCTATGATCCCCCTCTTAGGATTTCCCCATATTATTGTGTATTGATGATTTGTGATATTATTATTGATGATTGGTGTGATGATTCCATGGGTGATCTTGATGATGAGAGGTTCTTGATAATTATGGTGTTCTTGATGATTATATGACGTTCTTGATGATTATATGATGTTCTTGATGATTGTAGGATGTTCTTGATGTTTATGTGGTATTCTTACCGAATCTTGATATTAGAAGATGAATTGTGTCCTTGTTGATTTAAAAGTGATTAGAACCCTAGGTTGTATCGTATGATATTATTCTTGGTGTATTGGGTGGGAAATCGCATGTTTGGGTGTTAATTATGTTTAGAAAAGCATGATAGGTTATGTGCCATATGTTCCTCACTTTGATCCGTTAATTGTCTACGTGTTGTTGTCAATTGTGTTTAAAAGTGTCAAAGCATGGTTCCGGGTTCCACAAAGGTTTCCGGGGCATTTTTGGTGATGAAAGAGTCAGTGGGGGGTAGGGGACCTGCCACCTACCCGCGGCTAAAGATGGCGTCGTCGGCAGCGGGTAGCTGCCCGCCGGGCACCCGCTGCACGAAAAGGCTACCGCCGGCGGGTGAACTCTCACCCACCGGCTACCCGCTGGAAAAATACCAAATTTGGGATTTTGGCTTCCTCGTTTGATGTTCCCCCGATCCCCGTGGTGTCCCAACAGACTCCGTCTGTCGTGCCTATGTCTAGTTTGATATTTCGGGTACCGTTCGTAGGTTGTATGAGTCTTATATATTGCATGCTAATTGAATTGGTATCCCGCTGACCTAGGTGAAAGATGTATGAACCCCTTAGGATTATTCTTAGTATGTGAAGGATCACGCATAGGTTTTGTTATACGTTTTCTCCCCCTTCCCAATGTGTTAATGTGGGTTGCATGTGCTTGCTATGTGTTATGTGTGCATGATACCCCAATTCGGTTGCGATCAGATTGGTTATTCCTGGGCTGCGGTTCAGAAGTTGGCTGCGGTCAGATTTACACTCTTGGGCTGCGGTCCACCGTTTGGTTGCGATCAAACGTTTCTACATGAGCTGCTGTTCATATTTCCTGGTTGCGGTCAGATGACATACTCTTGGGCTGCGGTCCACTGTTTGGTTGCGATCAAACTATGATGAGCTGCGGTTCATCGGTCGGCTGCGATCGACCCCTCCGTGATGCGATACGGGGCAGGGTGCTGCGGGGCCGTGTCAGAGCTATATGCGCTGACCCTCATGTATGGGCATGCGATTGGTCCTGTAGCGCCAACAAAGTGTGCTATGTGATGAAGTATGGATGAGTTGTTGTTATGAGTGTCTTGGGGATGTGACTATGGGATCTATACTGGGAATCATATATGTTGGGTTATGATTATTAATTGTGCTTATCTTTACCTGTTTTACCTGTTTGTAAACTGTATATGCTTGGTATAACTGTTGTCTGTGCTTAGCTCTATCTGTCGAGTCTACCCCTGTTTTAAAAACTAGAGTTCGTAGGATATATCTTCATGTTCAAAATGGTTTCCGTATATCTATATATATCTCTATATGTATTGTATTTCAACGCGTTGGAGTGGGTTAGCAGCATCTCTCGCTGAACAGATATATTTGGCTTTCAGGCATAGAGGAGTAGACACTGGAGCGCGCTAGAGTCTTGAAGCGTAGAAGTAGATAGTTTCCCTTTCGGCCTGCGTGCCACGCTTATATATTTACATTATTGAGGATATTAGTTAGTTAGCCTGTGCACCTGAGTTCTCTAGTTCAGGTGTGGCAAAGCACCCCGTACTCTTTATATTATGTTTTGGGATTTAATGAGAACTTACCTTTATTATATAAGCTTCAAAAGTTTAAAAATTTCGGGGTGTTACAATATGAATTCAAGGTTATGCCCTTTGGCCTTACTAATGCACTAGCAACATTTCAAGCTTTGATGAATCATGTGTTTAAGCCACTAATCTGGAAAACTGTACTGGTGTTTTTTGATGATATTTTAGTGTACAGTCCTTCTATGGAGAGTCACTGGCAGCACTTAAGGGAAGTGTTAGAAATCATGAAGAAGAATCAACTATTGGCTAAGCTGAGTAAATGTTCATTTTCAAGGAAGGAAGTGGAATACTTAGGCCATATTATTTCTGAGAGAGGGTTGCAGATTGATCCTGAGAAATTGGCTGCTGTGAGGGCATGGCCAAGACCAAACAACATTAGGGAATTAAGGGGATTCCTTGGTCTCACAGGCTACTACAGGAGGTTTATCAAATCTTATGGTACTATAAGTAGGCCACTCACTGATATGTTGAAATAAGATGCATTCAAGTGGAGTGTGGAATCAGATGAAGCCTTTGAACTCCTTAAAGATGCTCTATGCTCAGCCCCAGTGTTGACCTTGCCTGATTTCAATAAGAAGTTTGTGGTTGAATCTGATGCTTGCCATAAGGGGATGGGAGCAATACTAATGCAAGAAGGGAAGCCAGTGACCTATTATAGCAAAGGATTTGGCCCAAAACACCTGGGATTATCCATCTATGAGAAGGAATACTTGTCTATAATCAATGCAATAGACAAGTGGAGGCCTTACTTGTGTGGAGGGCACTTTTTGATTAAAGCAGATCATCAGAGCTTACAGTTTTTACTTGAACAGGATATAACCACTGCCATGCAGCAGAAAGGACTAACCAAACTTCTAGGACTGAGTTATGAAATTCAATATAAAAAGGGCAAGGAGAATGGTGGGGCAGATGCTCTATCAAGAAGAAGGGATGTGGGGAAAGCTGAGTCCATGGCTATAACTACTGCTAAGCCATTATGGATAGAAGAAGTCCTCAAAAGTTATGAAGGAGATGAGTATGCTAATAAAGTGTTGACTGAGAATCTAATTGCACCAGAGGAAGGATCAAGGACTACTATCATTGAAGGATTGATCAGATATAAAGGTAGACTGTATGTGGGAGGGTTAGGTGATTTAAGAAGCAAATTGTTAACTCAAATGCACAGCTCACCCATTGGAGGACATTCAGGGCAACAAGTCACTTACCATAGACTGAAACAACTTTTTTATTAGAGGGGTATGAAAGCTGAGGTAGTGGCAGCAGTCAAGGCTTGTGAAGTTTGTCAGCAATGCAAAGAGGAAAATGTGGCTTATCCAGGCTTGTTGCAACCTCTCAAGATTCCTGAACAAGCTTGGCAAAGCATTTCTATGGATTTCATTGAAGGGTTACCAATGTCACATGGGAAGGAAGTTATTATGGTTGTGGTGGACAGATTCACTAAGTACAACCACTTCATTTCTTTATCACATCCATACACAGCTGAAAAAGTGGCAGAAGCATTCATGGAAAATGTTTACAAACTCCATGGGATTCCTAAAGATATAGTGAGTGACAGAGATAAGGTCTTTCTGAGCAAATTTTGGCAAACATTGTTCAAACAATTGCAGGTTAAGTTGAGTATGTCAACAACATATCATCCACAGTCTGATGGACAAACAGAGAGAGTTAATAGATGCCTGGAAACTTATTTAAGATGTATGGTGTTCCACAAGCCCAAATCATGGAGTAAATGGTTACATTTAGCTGAACACTAGTATAACACTAACTATCACACATCCCTACAGTGTTCACCATTCCAGGCTTTGTATGGATACTTGCCTCCTACTATAGCATTTGATATGGTGACAGAAGGAGACGGGAATGAATGGTTCAAAGAAAGGGCAGTCATGGTGGCCATTTTAAGAGAGAATTTGCAGAAGTCCCAAGCAAGAATGAAACAACAAGCTGATAAAAAGAGGAGTGAAAGAAGTTTTGAAGTGGGAGATTGGGTATATTTGAAAATACAACCATATAGACAAATATCAGTGGCTGTCAGAGCTAACATCAAGCTTACTACCAGGTTTTATGGTCCTTATAAGGTCACAGCTAAGGTGGGAAGGGTTGCGTATAGGCTGGATTTACCTCCTGATGCTGCTATTCACCTAGTGTTTGATGTGTCACAGTTGAAGAAAAGGATAGGAGGAGAATTGATTTCCCAAGCTGCTTTGCATCTTACTGATCAGGATGGGATGATTTTAGCACAGCCTATGGCAGTAATTGGGAAGAGGTTGGTCAAGAAGAACAACAAGGCTGAGGCAGAAATTCTAGTTCAATGGGAGAATCTACCTAAGGAGGCAGCTACCTGGGAAAATTTTCACCACATAAAGAGGCAGTTTCCCAGTTTTGATCCTTGGGGACAAGGATCTAATGAAGGAGAGGGGAATGTTATGACCTTAGAAGATGAAACCAAAGATTTGGGAATCAAGAGAGGAAGGCAGAAGGAGAAAGATCAAAATAATTCTAAGTGAGAGAAGTCGGGGGACCAGTACGACATCGTTTGAAGGCAGCGGGTAGGAGCCGTTATTTCACTTAAGAAAACGACGTCGTTGGATGCGTTGGTTGGGCGGATTTTAAACGAAGCACAAAACGTCGATGTTTGGAGTATAGCCGTTGGAAGAAGATACCAGACGACGTCGTTTCAAAGCTAGCTTGCTAAATAGGATTGCAGCTGAGAAAGCGGAAGTTTGTTATGTTATTTTGTTTGTATTAGCCTAGATATATAGATATTTTTCTGCATTGAGATGTTTTTATGCTTACGCTTTATGAAATCACAAACCCTAGCTTTTCTTTACCCCTAAATTCTATTATCTGCTTCTTTATCTCCTTCTGGATCCTTGGTTTTGTTTGGAATTTTGTTTTTAAAATTTCAGGTTGTGACACTCAAGCGCTCTCCCCTCGCCACCAGTCTCCAGCCCAGCGCCGCCGCACCGGTGTCCAGTCCAGCCGTCGTCCCCATCGTCTCCGATCCCCTCCGCCACAAGTCTCGCTGCTGTCGTCCCCGCCGTTATAGGTTAGTATTTTTTCTTTTGTTTTTATTTTATTTTATTAATTTGTAATATATTTTAATATTTTTATTGTTTATTTTAGTTTAGATTTGTTGTGTGTTGTTGTATATGTTAGGCATTATTGTGATGGAGAAAGTTGAATAATTATAATTTATAAAGTTAAAATATAGATGAGGAAGTTTTAATAGCATTTAGTTCTATAGAGGAATTTCTGCTCTAATGACAGTGAATGTCTCAGTGATTTCGGCAAATAACTTTTGAGTGCATAATTATGTGATTGGATAGATAAGCTTTATGGAGTTTCTTCTCTGTTATGGTTCTCTTGTAGCAGTTATGAGCCTCAGTCTATACTCTCCAACTTTCTTCCCTTATTGATTTGAAACTGGATGGCTAATTATTTAGATAGCTTATGTTACTGTCTGTTAGACTTTGAAAAGTTGAAGTTTAAAGCTTTTGGAAACAGAAACCTCAACAAATGTGGTGGGCTTCCTCATAAAATTGGGAAACATAACATATAAGAGAGACCTGAAACAAGATTTCTCTTTGATTTTCACATCTTTTGTTTATGGAAGAAATTTTATTTGGTTTTAACTTGATTCCTCATTTGTAATGCTTATCCCCCAAGAACCAACATTCCACATTGATATAAAGGAAACTAGTGTGGTTTGTAGTGGCCTGTGGCCATGTCTTTCTGTGCAACTTTTTGGTTAAATGTTAACAAAAAAAAAACTGAAAAGAGCGAATCAACTGATATGCACATAAGGCATCTATTTGTAACACTGTAACAATCTTAAGATACCACATTTTAAACACTAAAATGCCAGCCTTACCAGGATCTGCTTAGTTTCCTAAAAGAGTTGGATTAAGTAGTAACAATCCTCCCTTTTTGGAGCTTTATTTTCCTAAAATAATGCCTCAATTTATAAATTTGCCAGTGCAAGACTGCAAGTGCAAACTAAAATTGTTTATAAATTTCCTGCTTCATTCACTTTAGAACTATGTGGTTTTATTCTCCAAATAAGGAAAAAAAATAAATGTTTTAGTTCCAAAATTGCAGTTAATGTATAGTGATGATGATAAAGCATTTGGAACAACTGCTGAATTGTGTGTTGATGAGAGAATGAGAATTGCATCAGATGGTATAATAGTGATCAGGTAGCATTCTGGAGCATCCAGCTTGTGTATATTTTACTTTGTGATACTGATAGCTTGATTTATGCTACAGTATGGAGATTTTACATCCTCAACCCACTGATACTCTATCTGAGAAAGCTATAACAGGAAAAATAAGAATGATCACTAATATTAATTATTTATAGTACGTACTAATAAACCTATGAATGCACTTCTGTTATTACCTGGTGCTAAAATTTTATCTACTTTAAGGGGACACATTATTAATTACGTTTTATAACTTTCTCTGTGAAAATTGTATGAATTCAATGATTATGTATTAGGTAAAACTTAGGGAGAAATACACAATTCATTTGATATGATCATTGGTTAGTTGGAGAATTCTATTTCTAAGTGACTAATGAGTAGAGTAAACTAGTAATGGAGCTATTTATGGTATGATATATTGGAACTTAGTCTCTTGTACATATTATAGAACATTCCATGTATGTATGGAGTTTGATTTATTTGTGCTGTTCATCCTTATTACTTGAGTATGCCTAGAGTTGAAATGCTTTATTTCATTTTATTTTCTACTGTGTGAAGTCTTAAGCTGAAACGTATTTTTTCCTGATTTAACCTTTTACCATCTATACACACTGCTAAGGTTTGTGAAAGTTGTTTTCTAATAACAATTTGCTCTAGATACCAATGAATTTTCCAGTACTTGCTCCGACTTAAGCGGACACAAATGGAACTGGAAAAATGCTCCGACTTAAAGCATGCCTATTTGACATTTCTTTAATTTCCCAGGTGGACGTTATAGAATCTCAGTGGAATGTTTTGCAGTCTCACATTCAGAATTCTCATGATTTCACAGAACTTGTGGGCTTCCATCAAGAGTAAGTAAAGAGGAAAGCTTAAAATTTTATGGGGAAAATTTAATATGCTTATAATGTGGGATTTGTGACTGGGATTTCTAGCTTATTGGCTCTGCCTCTTCTGTTTTAATTGCTCTCTTTTGTTGCCTTGAGTTGCTTCTGTAAGCAACTGCATTCCTTCAAGTTTCTTTTAGGATCCTTTTCCAATTTTCAGTTTAGTAAGCTATTTATTCATTCTCAAAGTTCAGATCCATTTCCCAATCTCAGGCTTATAGTAATTCTAACGATATCCTTATATGTGCTTGAATGCTCTCCCCAGTTGGTTTTGTTGATATTAATTATGGTTCTAATTTTCCTGCATAATCATTTTGCTGGATTCACATCCCCTACACCAATTCAAGCACAAACATGGCCCATTGCACTACAAAATCGGGATATTGTAGCGATTGCCAAGACAGGATCTGGTAAAACGCTGGGTTATCTTATGCCTGCATTTATGCAGCTTTCCCAACGGCGCAATAATCCCCAGAATGGGCCAACTGTATTAGTCTTAGCTCCAACGCGTGAGCTTGCAACACAAATACAGGATGAAGCACTAAAATTTGGACGATCATCAAGGGTTTCTTGCACGGTAAGTTGACAATTGATTAGTCAGTATGTACTCTCATTATTGTGGAATGAACTATAGATTCATCTCTTTGTTTCAGTGCTTGTATGGCGGTGCTCCTAAGGGTCCACAGTCAATTTCTGGTTCAGAAGTGGATCTTAAGATTTTTCCAAGTATGTTTAGATTATCTTTTTAGATTTAAATATACTATGCGCCTATAAGTTCAATGCCATAAAAGATGACAATTTATTGTTTGTCATATTGGCCCTGTTTGGTAAAAAATTGGCCTATAGGCCAATTTTAACTTATTTGATAACTATTAATTGTTTGATTTAGTTAAAATATCAATATAAATGTTTGGTTAATTAGCTTTTTCCAACTCCAAAAGGCTAAAATTGAAAATGCTACCCCAAGCAACTTTTTCAATTAGCTTTTTTAGAAAAGAAATTATACTGAACAACTATCAGCTAATAGCTAATTTACCAAACACTTTTTTACAATCAGCTAATGTTATCAACTATTTATACCCTCTAATTAACACAATCAGCTAACAACTAACAGCTATCAGCTAACAGCCATTTTACCAAACAGGGCCATTATGTATTAGTGTTGATTTCAGTTTTTTATCTTAAATATAAAAAATATATATATAATACGCATACAAAGTTCATGAACTTTGTATAGTATTTTTTTTTAAAATAAAAACACTATACGCGTCCAAAGTTCATGAACTTTGGACGCGTATAGTGTTTATTTTTTAATAAAAAAATACTATACGCGTCCAAAGTTCTTCAACTTTGGACGCGAATTATCATTTTTCGCGTCCAAAGTTGAGGAACTTCGGATGCGAATTATCATTTTTCGCGTCCAAAGTTACTTTGGACGCTAATTGTATATACAATCAGCGTCCCCGACATCTGCGTCCCAGCTACTTTAGACGCGAATTAGACTGAACTTTGGACGCGAATGACTGTTTCTGTACTAGTGTTACAGAGGAACTTGTCTCTATCTGATACAATTCCTTGTGGCAGTCCATGCAATTTATACACATTTTCCATGTATTTGTTGGCTACCTTCTCAACAGTGAATGGGTGAATTAGGCTCATGAAGTGGCCATATTTTGTGAATCTATCCACTACCACCATGATGACATTCTTGTTGTTGGACTTAGGTAAGCCTTCAATAAAGTCCATAGACACTTGGGTCCAAGCTTGCTCAGGGATAGCTAGGGGCTGTAGGAGTCCAGGGTTCTGCACATTTTCTGACTTATTTCTTTGGCAATTATCACAGCTACTCACAAATTGCTTGACTTGCCTCTTCATTCCCTTCCAATAGAAGACTGCTCTCAGTCTAGTGTAAGTCACCTGGGTTCCAGAATGACCTCCCACTGCAGTAGTATGGAATTCAGTGATTAGTTTCTCTCTCAGATCATCCTGATCTCCAATCACCAACCTGCCTTTGTGTTTTAATAGCCCATTTTCCATGCTCATGGCAGGCACAGAATGGGGATCCAGCATTAATGCAGCCATTTTCTCTTGTATCCAGTTGTCATTCTTGTAACTTTGCAACACTTCTTCTATCTATAGGGGTTTAAAGCTGGATAGGGCATTACACTTCCCCACTTCTTCTTTTCTAGATAGGGCATCAGCTGCTGAATTATCCTTCCCTTTCTTATAAGTGATGGAGTAGTCCAACCCCAACAGCTTAGTCAGTCCCCTTTGCTGAAGGACTGTAGTGATATTTTGTTCTAGTAGATATTTCAAACTTTGATGATCAGTTTGAATACTGAAGTGCCTCCCTTGCAGGTAAGGTCTCCACTTCTCCACTGCATTTAAGAAAGCCAAGTATTCCTTCTCATAGATAGACCAGGCTGCATGTTTAGGCCCTAGCCCCTTGCTGTAATATGATATTGGCTTGCCTTCCTGCATTAGTATGGCCCCAATCCCTCTGCAAGATGCATCAGCTTCAATTGCAAACTCTTTCTCAAAATTGGGCATGGTTAAGACTGGAGCTGACCACATGGCTGTCTTCAACTGTTCAAAAGCCAATTGTGCCCCCTTGGTCCAAGAGAATCCATTCTTTTTCAGCATGTCTGTTAAGGGTCTGCCTATGGCTCCATATCCACTTATGAATCTTCTATAGTAGCCAGTGAGGCCAAGAAACCCTCTTAATGCCTTGATAGTGGAAGGTTTAGGCCAAGACATCACAGCCTCTATCTTGAAAGGGTCAGTGGCCATCCCTTCTCCTGTCATAATGTGCCCCAAGTATTCCACCTGTTTTTGAGCAAAGAAACACTTGCTTCTCTTGGCAAACAACTGGTTTACCCTTAGTAGTTGCAAGGTGATGGCAAGATGTTCCAGATGGGTATCCAAACATGGGCTGTATACTAATATATCATAAAAAAACACAAGAATGAATTTCCTTAGGTGTGGCAGAAATACCTCATTCATCAGTGCTTGAAAGGATGCTGGGGCATTGGTGAGCCCAAATGGCATAACCCTGAATTTATTTAGGCCTTGGTTTGTCTTGAAGGCAGTCTTAAACTCCTCCCCTTCCTTCATTCTAATTTGGTGGTACCCAGCTCTTAGATCAATCTTTGAGAAGTATGTGGAGCCTGCTAGTTCTGAGAATAGATCTTCTACAAGAGGAATAGGATACTTGTTCTTGATTGTCATCTTGTTCAAGGCTCTATAGTCTATGCAAAACCTCCATGATCTATCTTTTTTGGGCACCAGTAGCACTGGGGATGCAAATGGTGATGTACTTGGGCATACAATTCCTGCTTGTAGCATTTCTGCAATCATCTTTTCAATAATATTTTTCTGATCATGAGTATATCTATAGGCTTTCAAATTGACAGGGTTTGCATTGGCCACCAAGGGAATGGAATGGTCATGCCTTCTGGAAGGAGGTAATCCTTGTGGCTCTTAGAAGATATCAACAAATTGTCTCAGCAACTCTTCCACTACAGTGTTCATAGTTACTTTAGATGCCTAGGAAGACTCTATAGCATTGTAGGATCAAGTCAGTCCAGCTGGTTTCTGTTCTGAATTACAACAATAAATCAAGAACCCCAATGCTCCTTTCTTAGACCAATTAGCTTTCTCTTTTGTGGTGGCTTCCTTAAGGTTCATTCTACTAGAAATTCCTTCTAGTGTAACCTCCTTTCCTTCTTTAATGAATGTTATTCCCAAGGGTCTGGTGTGCAGTTGAATGGGGGGAGAATTGATCAAGCCAGTCCATGCCCAAAACCATATCACACCCTCCCATTCTTAACAATCTCAAATCTCTCTGGAACTCTTCTTCTTGTACTATCCAAGAAAACTCACTGCATGCCTCATCACACATCAAGGTTTGGCCATTGGCTACTGTCACATAAAGGGGGTTAGTTTTGTAAATGTGAGATTTAAGCCCTTGAACCACTGCAGGATCCAAGAAACTATGTGTGCTGCATGTGTCTACCAGAATGACCAATTTCTTCTTCCCCACTTTGCCCAATATTTTGATTGTGCTCAATCCTTCCCCTCCTAGCATGGCTAAGAGAGAAACCTCAGCAAGCCCTTCTTTCTCTTCAAAACTGTTCTCTGTTTCCAGATTTTCCTCTATCTCCCCTTGATCAAGCTGGACCCCCTCTAGGCCTGTCATCACATTGAATGACTTAGGTCTACATTTATGGCCATGTTGCCATTTTTCTCTTCAATAGAAGTATAACTTCTGT